CATCATCATGTATCATCATCATGTATCATCATCATGGATCATCATCATGGATCATCATCATGGATCATCCATACCATCACCATCACCATCACAATCATTAACATTGCCACTATTTTTAGAAAGTAATGAAGGCCATTTGTACATTTACCTTCAGCGATGAGCCTCATGAGGTTATGCGCCACCTCTTCTCGGACCAGTTCTCCTCCTAGCTCCAGTACTTCATTCATCGTTACAATATACCAAGAGTTGTCAGGTGCATATGTGAGAACACGTGTCAAGGTGAAAATCCATAAACCAATACTGAATTAAATGACATTCATTTTCTTTTCGGTTGATCATCCCTTTTTATTTTCATTTTTTCACCCCACTTCCCATTCCATTTTTTGGTGCCATTTGAGATACTTTTCTTTCTTCTACGTTGAATTTAGCTCCCTCCCTTAGTACTCCCATTGCAAGTTCGCCTTTGCTCAGTCTTAGCCTCGACTGTGTACAAATGTCTTCTTTTCTTTTATTAACGTCCATTGTATAGTAAGGAATGTACGTACTACAGAACAATACGAGTTGATTAAATCGCCACATGGGGTTTGGTTAAATAACTGAATATTATAACGCACAAAAGAGACTAAGGCTGAGCAAAGAGAAGTAGAAAATGGATTATTCTTATTTCCTTTATCACGGTTCGATAAAGGTTTCACAATGAAAGGATATCTCTCTGCCAGCTCCGTTACCCTAGCAACCAGATCTGTTTTAAAGTAGACATCCACAGTGTTTCTAAGGTACTTGATCAGCCTATCACAGATTGACTCCACGTTATCAGCATTAGTAATGCGACAAAGAAGGTCTAAAGTCTTCCGTTTAAGAGTCTCGTCGGGATCGTCGAGGCAATCGATAATTATTCGTTGATACGCCGGCTCTGTTGCGAAGCTGGCTTTGACTTCCACCAATGCAGCTAAAGCATTTATACCTGTCAAAAAGGTTTGAAGGTAAATTAGAATGACGCAGTAATGATGATGCATGATGATGATGATACATGATGATGATGATACATGATGATGATACATGATGATGATACATGATGATATAACACCTGATGATGATGCATGATGCATGATGAT